TATGTTATGTTATGCTGTGTTATGTTATGTTATGTTATGTTATGTTATGTTATGTTATGTTATGTTATGTTATGTTATGTTATGTTATGTTATGTTATGTTATGTTATGTTATGTTATGTTATGTTATGTTATGCTATGTTATGTTATGTTATGCTATGTTCCATTGTGTTTTATGTTGGGTTCATGTGCATGTATCGAGAAAAATACAGTCTTACAATTACACGGAGAGACCGAGGAGAAGTAAAGAGGGGAGGGACGAAAACACATGGGCTCTGACAAAATCATACCTGGGCTTAATCCATCTCAGATTTGAGAAGGCTTAGAATTCGCGTACGTTAACGACATTTTCAATCTTTATGTGTTAGTGTCACCCGATATGTAATTACGAACATTTATGCACGTATTAAAACATTTTATCTTGTTACCTGCAACCGGCCGTAGTTACACCAACTTTACTGTAATTGTACCAAATTACTGTTCTTTGCAACTGCCCTTATCCAACGTATATTCTTAACATGTTTGAGTTTACAACATAGAAGCTAAGGTAAAAGTACGTTGAGCGTAAATAAAAGTAGCAACTCTATACGTTATTTTCCCCATTTTCATTCTGCGATCGCCATCGAGTCCTGTAGTCACATTTTTGTAGCAGGTCGCAGCACACGACCACGCGAGCGTTTACCTCGCCCATATCCAGCCTGTTCTGCTAGCATCTATGACCAATACGACATACGCATATACGCTCTCCTATGACACTATTTGTCATAGGAACACATACAACAATATTTGTCATAGGAAGGACCATGTGCGCATCATAGGAGTTTAGGAGCGCTATTATGAACGCAAGCAGTGAATTTTAGCTGTAAAGCGGAACGAAGTTGACTCGCCAATATTTGTCATAGGAAGAATACAATGGCTAAAATTCACTGCTTGCGTTCATAATAGCGCTCATAAACTCCTATGATGCGCACAACACATACAACAATATTTGTAATAGGAAGAATCTTCCTATGACAAATAGTCTCATAGTAGAGCGTATATGCGTATGCCGTAGTTGTCATAGATGCAAGCAGAACATGTTGGCCATTCGAGGTACAGTAGAGCAGAAGAGAGAATCGTTGGGTCCGTGAGAGCCAGTTAGAGTCTAACGCCAGCATTCATTGTCAATCTGAGTCTTCGTCGATGAGCCTCGTGTGGCCTGTAGTGACGTAGATTGGCTGCTGTGTTTCAGTTGAGTATGCGATGGGACACTCGTTCATCAAGATCGACTGTAAATCAAATGGCGTAAAGATAGATCCGATGGGCTATGTGACCATACTAAAGAATATTTACTGTATATCTACTCGCTACTCCGCTCGCGTTTCAGATATGTTTGTTGGAAGGTTTGGAACAGCTTTGTAAATGTGGTAAAGCATTGACTCAATAAACAAATGCAAAAGAGGAGGTGGGATATTCGGTAGATCAAAGCACGTGGCGAAGAAGAAAACGTACACGCTTATACACCGCGCAGGTAAATTATAGCGATTTCCCATTTGTTAATATATTACCACGCTCTCCTCGCTTTCTGGAAGTCGCCTGAGAAAGAAGCACAGTGGAGCAACCAGGAAGTTCAAGATGGCGACGATGCGCATCACCCTGCATGAAGATGATGTGGTCAATGATCTCTTACAACAACGGCGTTACGATAATGCAATAATTATAACGTAAATGTGTAAATATTATCCATATAATAGGTTCCAGTGCGACATAAGTATAGGAAATATAAATATATACCATGAGAACCCTACAGCTTCATTCAGCTCGCCTCCCACACCAGGTCCTATATACGAAAAAAACACGAAAAGTCAACATTTCAAATATGATTCGATTTTTCCTAAATTTAAATCGTTTTCATAGCAAATATAATTTTTAACCAAAGCAGTGACAAATGTTAAAATCACGTAGTTAGTCCCTTGGTTGTTTGTATTAATATAGGTTGTTAACAATGATCAGCCTACAAGTCACTTTGTGTGGACAAACCGGTACTGTCACCCTGCACAAATACACAACAGTTTGCAGTGTGCAGTGTATTTCTACCCAATATATATATACATATATATATATATATATATATATATTCTCTTGCATCTCGCTTACACTGTTAGGTAATGATCATTTGAAGCATCAGGTGGTGTTGGGATTAGGGATCACGCAAATCACTATGAAGTCACTCAGGGAATTGCGCACGGCAACGCAAGTAGTTAGTTACCTACGGAGTACGCAAGACACGATGCGGTCTGGCCGATGGCGTACACGCTTCCGTATATGCTGACGTAACGCACGTCGACGATGTGACCTAGTAGCGGGATGATCGACGAATCGACGATACCTACAAGATGGCGAACAGTCAGTCCATGGGTGCCCTGAGTATGAGCACAGTCGTCTACGCTGAGCAGGTGCATCAGGATCGCTATATATACAGTTCGTGGGCTTTCGAGGGGGCAAGCGATACACACACGCGCACGCGCGCACACGCGCGCACACGCGCGCACACGCTCACACACACACACACACACACACACACACACACACACACACACACACACACACACACACACACACACACACACACATATATATATATATATCTACATATATAAGACAAATTTGTCTTTATTAACTTCTGATAAATATATATATATGTACGGATTATGGATTTAAGTCTATAAAATACTTGGAATAATAAATGTAGAATATAGAACATTACGACAGAACCTACCGATTCCCAAGCCGACGCCAAAGTGCGGGATGAGAAGATGTGCTATTTGCGTCGCAAAGGGAATCTGTGCAACAGTGGAAATATGACAACGAGTCACCACAAACTCCATCTACGAGGCAAGCTACAGTTGATGAGTTAAAGGTAACGTGACTCGCCAATACTTTAGGGTATATGTATACGTTACAGCTAACGTAAACAATAGCAACCACTTAATATCTTTTCTGATAAACCCATTGAGGGTTTCGCAGTGATATCAACTAAATTCATCCGTCGCTTGAGCAATAAATATAACACACGAAAGACGTATCATAATGTATACTGTAATAATTAATCCCTTCGCATCGCAACGGGATTTCCGACTTGTCGGTATTCGGTCACCGATCGAGGAAGTACAGGTAACGCAATGTCCAGCCTGTTCTGCTAGCATCTATGACAAATACGACATACGCATATACGCATATTAGATTCTTCCGATGACAAATATTGTTGCATGTGTTGTGCGCATCATAGGTGATTAGGAGCGCTATTGTGAACGCAAGCAGTGAATTTCATATGTAAAGCGGAACAAAGTTGACTCGCCAATATTTGTCATAGGAAAAATCTTCCTATGACAAATAGCGTCATAGGAGAGCGTATATGCATATGTCGTATTTCTCATAAATGCAAGCAGAACATGTTGCAATGTCTCACCATGACGAGGCAGCACCCAATAATGAGTACGGCCGACATTGCGCATATCCACCTGCCGAGCTTGAACGCGACGATACCGAATAGGTTGGTGCCGAGCAGGTAGCCTATGCTGTCTGGTAGGAAAACCGTGCCTGCGTCCGAAAAACGAGCACGTGTAGACAATGGCGATATAAAGTGCGATTTGAGCGTCGCGCTATGATTTACAGGCCATTTCGGCCAACTGTGTGTTTCGTTGAGTTAGATAGATGTTTTGTGTTTGGCAGACTGATTTCTAATAATTGAATGCTAACTTTTGTAAGCAAATGACTGCAGCTCTTGCCGGACAATAAGGAAAACTGCACAAAGCAAGAATAGGCGAAGTTTTTTTGTAGCGCCACGACACACATCCGTTGTCAATCATGGCATTAGATTCTCCGCTGTATATAGCAGAACGTATATTGAACTTATAAACGTAATGCCACATCATCGTCACCTATCGGTGCATGCGTACCTAATTGCCACGTCGGCGGTTGCATCGTTTCCATCAGCCAGATTGGTAGTGTTGTTTCCAGAATGGCCATGGCAAATGTAGAAACGCAGATAATTGCTGTAATATAAATGAACGAATATGCCACGTATACGATGCGTACGATCTGTCATAAATGTATCAGTTAAAATGTATTTGGTGTATTATCGATTAGAAACCCGAGTAGATTGACGCCACAGTGTTGTAGTTAAACATGATGTAGATCGTTGTGTGCACAATTATAGTGCCCATCGTTTGCCTATAGCCGTTTCTCCTTCTTAAAGGAATGGTGCGAATACAGGCTGTCTTAGTGACATGCGTATACACGTAATGGAACATGCAATGTATCATGATGTCACTGTTCTCACTAGCTGATATTAAAATGTATGGATCTTTGGCGAGCTCGAGTAGTGGCGCCCCCTCTGTTCTCACTTTACTTTCGACTGATGGCTGCAGAATGACGGCCTGCAAAACTGGTAACAGTACAACTTTAACAGAGAGTACTCAACACAATATCCTTGGCGAATGATAAAATCAATCTAGGTCTTTCAAAGGCTGCCATTTAGGCTTATATTTGTAATGCTTAAATCTATCCAGTATTATCAGCCAGCATTATCTCGAATTTAGCCATAAATATATGTGGACTAACAACATTATTATCGTACACTAATTACAATTACATTGTTGATGTATTTATAGAAATTACCTCCACCAAGAAGTCCAAGGAATATGATAAATATAAACGGTGCCGTCTGTCCAACAAAGTCGTACATTAGACTTCCAAATGGGTATCCGACTGCAGCGGTAATCAATAATCAATAATCAATATTTATATAATAGAAAATAAAAGCGACTATTTGAGAAAGACCTTCTCGCATTACGTCACACGGTAGTTAGGTATTGTTCGCAAAATCAATAACATAATCGCGAGCAGTTTATTGGGATTCAGGACCAAAGTAGTATACAGTTACTGGACTAACATAGTAGTTCTTATAATAATATAGAATATCACTAAACGAACACGCGCGCGCATCAACACATGCACCACACTCGCGCGCATACGCGCACGCACGCACACACATACGAATGCGCGTACAAGCGCGCACCCAGTACCTAAAACTCCGGCAGCCATTCCACCGAGAGCGATTCCCATCGCCTGGCTTCTCTCCTTGTCATCCTTATATCTATCCGCCAGCATTCCCAATCCTGTCGATCAACGAAAAGAACGGGGATCACTAGAACACGTAAAGCTTGCATGCAACTGGGAAAACCAATTTTACTTAAGCCTAGCGCAGACCTGAGACTTTTTTTTATGCAACTCGACAGCGATTCTAGAATCGCTGTAAAAATTGCTGTGAAATCGCTACGTCTGCGGGAACGTGCAACTGCAATCCGTAGCGATTCTGGTCGCTTGCGACGAGTTGCAAGAAAACAAACTGTTTTGATTTTGAGCGACTCGTCGCTCCCAATCGCTTCCAAATTGCTATAGAATTGCTTCGAAATCGCATGTGTGCGCACACGCGGCGACACATCGACCGATCGCTTGCGGTTGCAGGTTGTAGCGACGAGCAACCAAAAATCGCGGGTCTGCGCTATGGTTTGCGCTATGCTTTACTGTTGACGTGCGATTACTTGCAATCGTCTGGTCGGTGTACATGCACGTAATCGGAATGACAAGCTCTCTCGTGTGCTGCTAGTTTAATCGAAATCTACCTCTATCATACGGGGAATAAAACGTACAAAATGTAATATTGTCCTAACATCATAAAGACCTAACGTCGCTCATGTTATATGCATGTTATATGCATGATTTCCTCGCCTGTTATTGTGCGAAAGAGAAACAATATCCAGTCACGCCATATATCGCCGTCACACTACAAACGTTTCATGAAAAACACATATATCAAAGATCCGAAAAGCTTTAACCGAACCACGTGCCACGTAATATAGCCTAGGTTCGAGCAGCACACCAAGGAACCAAGGATTCACTGTCCTTGCCTCATTCTCATCGCCATTCAGATTTGTTAACGACAATTACCGGGTTTCGCGCCAGTTTACGAACGTAATTACGCGGTATGGCCGGTCACCTGCGATCGCACTGCACGCCGAGCCGATGCCTTGTACGCTCCTAGCGAAGAACAGCCAACCGTACGACTGAGCGACGGAGAAAACTAGAAAAGTGAACCGGTGAACGACAATCATTATGATATTCATTGCTGAATTCCGTGGATGTAATAGACATGGCGCGGGAATTTCGTGTGCAATATATCCATAAAGTTTCTCCTGTCACCCTCGATAGGAACACTATACAGTTGTGCGTAATATGAATGTGTATTTACGTGTGTCGTGATTTTAAGCACAGAATATATATGAGTAATATTACAGGGGTTAATATGTGGTTTACTTACTCATTGTAGATATGATCAGAACGATCACTCCTACGAACATTGGTATTGTATATCCGATTCTGTAAAGCAAGATGATTAAAATTATCATTATTAATAATTCTGAACTAATAATTCTTTTTAAATAAATCCTAATATGATGGAATTAAATTCAGTGGAACGGCTTGCAAATGTAACACTCTCTCTCTTCCATTCTTCACCAAGACATCGCCGTGTAGAAAGAAACAAGAAGGGATGCGTACAGCGAATACATATACCTGCTCTGTTTTGCTGGCTGCATGACGACGCAAAGCTATTGTTTCTAACAGTTATCACATTTTTCTCATCTATTTTCTTTATAATTTATAACCGAGCGTGGATTTCCGTTTTATTTACTGTAGGTCTAATCCACTATTGGAGCTCTCCGAAGCGTAGTATTGGCGGAAGTAAGGGCTCTGGGTATAGCCAATTAAGCATAAACGACAAGATTAGATCGCACCAGCCCACAGTGGCTAGCTGGAGCTGCATCAATGATTGATACAGCGCGCCACACACGGGCACACTGTTTTGTATCTGTAAAGATTCAGTTCTAAAGCTGCACTGCAACAGTTCGCATCACTTGTAGTTTCTAGAATACGGATAAAACAGTAGAGGCGCACATTGGCTTTTATTATAGTAATTCAACAGATTCGTCGTACGTACGTGGTTTTAATGATTTGACAAATTCATACTCTGCTAGCCTGATTCCGTGTTTCTCTGTCTATGTTCCCGTATATCCAGCAGAACTTTACGCCAACACGATATCGTCTCTAGGTGTATATCCGTATATGGATAACCGATTACATAATGAATAAATTACCCTGCTTCTGAACGGAAAACGACAAATCGGTGCACGAATCGCTCACTTTCCGCTATTCATTACGTTAGTACGTACGTGAGCTGGATTGATTGTAAATTTGCCGCAGCCAGTAATGGGAACGAGTGCGTAGTCGATGTAAACGTCATATTATGTGTATTGTAATAGGCGTGACGGCCCACGCAGCATACGCCGACGCACACATAACGAGCCGGGAGAAACCAACCGCCAATGCTATAATTGCGCGAAAATGGACTCAGCCGGCAACGAATATGAAGCATACAAAAGAATGTGATGTAATTTTGCCACAGCTGAACGGGCAGAGATAAGAATGGAGACGGCCGTATCTATAGTAACGTCTTCGCGCCATTAGCTGTTTTTATCGAGAGCTTTGCGCGGCTTAGCACGACCTGATAGCGGCACAGGTTTGAGTTGGCGAAACCATTGATGGATTGCAGAATGAAATCATATAAGACAGAGCGTATCGCAACGTGGTAGCTAGCAGACGAACAAATATGAAGGCCACCTGTAACGGAATTGCTCCACGTTCGAGCATTACGTCAGAACTTCATTTTCAGCATTTACTCGTTATTTCTCTATTTCGTTCGTTCTTTCATATTATCTTTCTTTCGTTCGTTCAGACGGGCGTTCGTTTGTTCGTTCGTTCGTTCGTTCATTCATTCGTTTGTGCATGAATTCATGCATTCATTCATTCATTCATTCATTCATTCATTTACTCACTCATTCAATTATCTACTCATTAATTCATTTATTCATTCATTTATTCGTTCCTTAACTCACTCAATCAGTCATCTACTCATTTATTCATTTATTCATTCATTCATTCATTCATTTATTCATTCATTCATTCATTCATTTACTCAGTCAGTCAGTCATCTACTCATTCATTAATTAATTAATTCATTCATTAATTAATTCATTCATTCATTCATTTATTCATTTATTTATTCGTTCGTTCATTCATTCCTTTATTCATTCGTTTATTTATTTATTCATTCATTCATTTATTTATTAATTAATTAATTAATTAATTCATTCATTCATTCATTCATGCACCTTCATTCATTCATTCATTCATTCATTCATTCATTCATTCATTTATTCATTCATTCATCCATCTATTCGTCCATCCATTCATTCATTCATTCGTGATTTCACCAGATATGTACCTACGCCCACCTATTCGTTAGAGGTCCTACGAGCAGATTAGCAAATAGCTGAACGATGGCCTTCGATGAGAACAACCAGCCAACCTGGCTGTTCTCATTGCCCAGGTCGTCATTCTGGTCGCCGATCGTGGCGTTGTGAGATCTGATGGACGTCGAGTTAGCGAGGCTGGACGGATTCTCTGTCGCGTCGTTCGAGTACACATACTCTCTGTGATGCTCAAGCGTATATAGGTAGTCCGGTATGATGGGAACTGGCAAACGGTAAAGTAAAGTATCAATAGATGAGTTGTTCGCATGCGCACGATCAATCTAGACTATAGTAATGCTAGTTACTAAAAGCTAGCAGTCGGTTTGTTTTAAGTTACCATTCGCCATGGTTAGTTTTATCCGAGATGAGACATTTCCTCTTATGGCTATTTATGAACACGCAGCACCAGCTTACGTGACCAGGCGCACGTGATCCATGGATGCCCGGTGACTCACGATACTGCCATATTTTTCTTTGTCAAACAGAATCTTTCGCATCTATAAAGAAAGCGCAATAACAGATGCCGAGCTCTATTATATTTGTATAAGTCTGGAGCAACGAGGCAAGCATATCGTTGATGCGCATGCGTCAAAACAAAGAGCAGGAGTATAGGAATGTGTCGTCACTCATACGCGTGGTGATACACGGTGGAAGGACAGATTGGCTCTGAAATCTGCCAGAATCTGCGTGTAATCGATATTTCGCTAATAGTAATCAAGCGTGCCCCGTGTGTCACCGATTGCCGCGAATAATCCCACGGGGGATGCACACGCGAGCAAGTATCCCCATGGTTTTACGCCCAAACGCACTCGGGCTCTCTTTATCCCCATTCATGCTCTTCTTCTGAGAAGAGTTCCCGAACCTACGTGCAGACTTGCGTTCGTACAGAATAATTATTATCAATTTCAGAGAACAGTGTCCAATTCTACTTGGAGAGATTTTCGTCCCGGCAGAGTATTACCGCACTGTCGGGAAACGCCCAACTCTACCTGTAGAGACTAGACTCCCTGCATTAAGTATAGTAAGGTGGTCCCCGAGTATTAAGTACCGTGTGTGAGTTCACGACTGGACGCTCTTATGCTTGCGTGTTTGCGACGTATTATCGTATTCTGCGAGAGGTTTCCGACAGTCTATACAGTGAAACTTGATTCATTGCAGGGTATTATCTTACTGTGGCAGGAGTATACTCGACTCTACGTGTAGACTCGTCCCTGAGTAATCGACGAGTAATCCTGAGTACGGGAGTAATCGACCCTTTTGTACAGAAACCCGTGTCCCTGCTGAATATTTTACTACTTTAAAAGGCACTGCATGTAAGAGGAGTAGTTTATATAATTATACAAATAGACCTGAGACTCTACAGTGTGAAATCGGAAGAAAACATTCCACTCGCCACTCGGCTGCCATGTCTAACAAAGATAGCGACGCGAATTAACGGCGAAACCTTTAACTAAAAACTGCGAACACTACGCCGCCGCCGCCACCGACGACGACGACGACAGCGACCGTGACGACGAGGACGCTGACGACGATGACGACGACAGCGCTGACGGCGACGACGATGACGACGATGACGACGCTGACGCTGACGGTGACGCACCTACAACCGTATAAAGCATGTTGTCGAGCAGGAGAGCGAGGAAGACGATGAAGAGCACCATGCGGCGCGACGTACGGCCTCTCTCCAGCAGGCTGTGAAACGTCGGCGACTGGATCGAGCTCACCACGCGATCCACGCACCTATTCATCCCGACTGGTGGTCGCTGCTGCAAACAGTACGGAGTGCATGCATGCGCACAGCCTGTTCTGCTAGCATCTATGACAAATACGACATACGCATATACGCTCTCCTATGACACTATTTGTCACAGGAAGATTCTTCCAAGGGACTTCCACACTGTTGTATGTGTTGTGCGCATCATAGGAGTTTAGGATCGCTATTATGAACGCAAGCAGTAAATTTCAGCTGTAAAGCGTAATAGTAAATAGTAAATAGTAGTAGTGTAAATAGTGTCATAGGAGAGCGTATATATGCGTATGTCGTATTTGTCATGGATGCAAGCAGAACACGTTGTGCATGCGCACGCGTGTCCACGATCTGTGGGAGCGACGGGCTTAATGTGAGTTGCGTGCGCGCACTCATTTTTCAGATTAGCAGGTACGTGAGGCAGAATTCAATACGCAAATCAAGAAAATTAATGAGCGAAACCCCGACACAATAAATATAGTTTGAGAGAATGGGTTGAGGATCCACACGCGAATGTATTACGCTTTCACTTGACATTTTCTTCAACAGTGCATCGCAGTATACATAGATTTTAACATAATTCAGAAATTTAAATTTTTACATATATATATACATATATACATATATATTCTAGCTATTACAGTATTCCCAGTAATAAGAAAATTACGAGTTGATGTAACTAGCTTACCTTAAACCTCCCGAGTAAATACTGATGCAGCCGTTCTCGGGGTTACGGCTTCTTCTCTTGTCGTCCGGATGAGGAACAGGCACGGTACGCTGGGAATAGGGATATTACGGAGAACTAGGAGGGATATCTGCGCAGTGCACCGTAGCGACTACCATGACGACCCAATGAACGTATTCTTCTACGAGGAACAACGATAACATCCACGGCCCACGACGACGGCAGCAGTTCGACTCCGCAAGAAACAACTATACCTTCCAGACGCTTCGCGAATTTGCATATTATTCCGAGGGAAGCACGAGCGGACGTGGTGACGTGCTGCTTGTTTCTTGTGAGTAGAAAATCACGAGGAGGCCGCGGCGGCGGCGGGAACACTGTTGCGAGAACAAGTTCTCCCAGACGACTTTCCCCGTCAGGGTGGCCAATCGCCGAGCTAAGATGCGGTGACGTCATACGGCACGAGTAGTTTTCATATCACGCAGGCTGGGAACCCGCGTCGAGCTATCTGGAAATCTTTCAACCTTTATAGATTGCCTATTATTGTAGTAATGAGCAATAAGAGTGTAATAATGTCGAGCCAGACGCATGCTATTAATGAAATGACGACATTAAGATATGACGCGATATCGCTGGGCGTAAAAAGCATTAGGAATCGTAGAAAAAAATAAGCAACCTTGTTTAAAAATCTGACGAATTGATGATGAAAAGATTATTCCTGCACTATCAATGAATCACACACGGTGGCGCTGCATGCAGCAAAGAACAATGCTGTGTTTCGACATGAGAAAATTGATGATCAAATATACGGCTGCTTGATGGCAAAGTTCAATCAGCAATACAGCTACGGCCACGTAGAGTTACAAGAATAATAGATACGCCGCAATAACACCGGCAGACGAGGTCATTATATTGTCTCTCTCGTTGACAAGGCTCCACGACAGTTTCATGCCCAGCAGTTTATTACGAGGTTGCGTCGTAACCGCATGTGACTGATCGAGTATATTGACAAAATATATTTCTCATTAGATGTTTAGAATAAGGCGAAATTCTTAATTAAATTTTAAAAATACCGGGCAAAGAATAATAGCCGTTGCTTTGCCAAAAACGTCAGCATGGGCACGATTTATAAAACTTAACTTTACATCCGACTATCGCTAACTATACATAGGTTAACCGCACAAACGTCAGACCACCGCAAGGTGACCGCATTACGTATCGTCTTCACGTTTCCTTGTCGCGGGGCGCTATCGTCTCGGGCAGACCGTTCATAGTTAGATGTATGCACAGCGCACACTATCAATAAATTGCTGCTAGTCGCAGATAAGAGGATTCACTGTCTTTGACAGGTTCCGAATCGAAAAATTCTGTCGGTTGTTTAAGCTTGTCTTTGAAATTCGCCTTAGTCACACATCCGGGCTTTCGTTCGTACGGCATCGGGCCCATTCACATGGAAAGCATACTTTTATTGCTGTCATTGTCGGCTAAAATATATATACACATTGTCGCATTGTCGGCTAAAAAATATTCATACGAAGAGAGACGTCTGGCTTATACACTCAAAGCTCAAAGCATATATTTCATGACTCATACTCCCAGACCACATAGTTCAACCTCATAGCTAAAAGCTTATAGCATTTATCTCATAGATCATAATTATATACTCCTATCCACACGATAGTTCACACTCCCACCTCAGAGGTGAAAGCTCATCGTTTGTGTACCACCAAACGTACCTCGTGCGTAGCCTATATATCATAAATTATAGCTCGTGTTTATATATCATAGATCACGAAATGTAGCTTGTTTTATGTCATAGCTCATAGCTGATATATATATATATATATATATATATATATATATATGTGTGTGTGTGTGTGTGTGTGTGTGTGTGTGTGTGTGTGTGTGTGTGTGTGTGTGTGTGTGTGTGTGTGTGTGTGTGTGTGTGTGTGTGTGTGT